TTTTCTTACCCATTTGCAAGGTTCAGTCGTGTTTACAGCTAAGAGATGAAACACAGAGTGCACCGTAAAATGTTTTCTTACGCATGACATTTATTCCAATCCTCCTGTTGTACTATTTCTTGCTTCTTTTTTTATCGGAAGTTTTGTGAATGTTCCTCTCATTTCAGGATCCCTCCTCACCCGTACTCGTCTTCGCAGTCTGGCCCGTCACCGCAACATCCAGGATTCATGGGTCAGCCAGGAGCACAGTTTTGTGCTCCTCCAAGTATGCTGAGCAATCCAAACTCCCAGATGTGCTCGTTCGGCACCGGTGCGATGTGTTCAGTGGGCGCGGGCGCAGTAGTGCACTCACCGGGCCCAATGTCGGCGGGGCCATCAGCTCACATGCTTGGCGGGATGCACGGGCCACCGGGCACATCAATCGGTCCCGCGGGCATCCATGGCACCACGTCGCAGTTCTCGATGCACCACTCGTCGCCATCGCAGCAGCCCTTCCAGCAACTGAGCCATTTCGTGAACAGTGCTAATTTTAACGGCCAGCAGCAACTGGGCCTTCCCGCAATGAATCACCCTTCGCAACAGCAGCACCTTTATCACCAGCATCAACAACAGCAGCAACAACAGGTATTTCTAAACTCAATAATTGGCCAGCACCGGAGCGAAATATCTTTTTTTTTTGCACAATTTCCCGCAGGTTTTTGTCGCTATCGACATTGTTTTTTCTGGAAGATGCTTCTAGCCAAAAGAATTGAGTCTGGCAAATAGGACTGTGAGAAAACATTCTCTTAAAAATTTAGCTTTCCAGTTTTTCTGGTTCCCGAGTTAGCAATTTGCTCGCAAAAAGTTCAGCCGTCTCAGATAGTCCTCGGAAAGGCAAACGGTTTGTAGCAATACCAGTTTGGTTATTTGCTGTTGGCAAAGTACTGTCACGTCAGTGCTTTCGAATTGCTCCGTACTTCCACACGTTTTCTGAAACCTAGTTGTTTTCCGATATTCAGATGATGTTTCGAAGTGGCATAGCTGGAAGTTTGAGCGCTCAACACGCGATTCGCTCGCCGGACACCTATGGATTGATGGATACACAGGTGAGAAAGATTTGCTGCAAGTAACTTCGTGATCTCATACTGGTATATAACATCTTATCTAATACAAAAAAAAAAAAAAAACTGGAGGTGGATTTAGCGATCCAGTGGGTATCTGAAGTTTCAGGCGCTTTTGGGAAAAGAATGAGTTTTCATGTTGTGTATTAGGAAGACGTCTGTAAGTATCTGTGTTTGACGTCGCGAATGCATCCCACTAACGATGTAGCTCCATTCCAACACTTCGAGCATCCGGGAACACTTCCTGAATTATTTTTTTTCAGGGACCAACAGCGATCGAACCTCCGCCGCCATTTTCGCAAGCAATCAGCAACCAGTATTCGGCGATGCAGGCTAGTTCGGTGATGTATTCACAGTCGGCGCACATGATGCGACCCAGCAGCGCCATGCAGCAACAGCAGGGCCAGAATCCGAACATGATGACTGGGCCAAGGACACCGCAAAGCGTAATGATGGCAATGCATCATCATCCATCTCTCGGAAGTCCCAGTAATCCAGCACTGTTCGGGAGGTATGCTCGTTTTTGCCTTACTAACCAGCCGACATGCAGTGTTTCCGTTCCATAAGCGGGTCCAGAGAGAGAGGAGAGACAGGTTCCCCCCCTCCCCCCACTGCAGCCCCGGGTCACAGCCGTCAGTGCTGCAAAAGCCCGCGTCTAAAGCTAAGACTAAAGTAAGCTAAAGTCTAAAGTAACTCTAAACTGAAGTAAGTGTTTTAGAAATTTCTAAAATTCAACACTATGAATATCTCTGGCTGGAGGATTGCAAGAAGTCGGAGACTTAACTCTAAGTAGCAATGTTACAGCTATATTCCCAGTTTTTGCATAATTCCAGGGTGGGAAAGCTCCGTATCGTCCTCCCAGGAGCCTCACTCTCCTCCCGCTCCCCGTCGCTCCCCGTCCCTCCCGGAAGTTCGTCCTGGATCTGCATATGTGCTGTTT